CTTTAAATAGTTTAAAATTAGTCAAGCATTCTTGAAATATTGATGGACCGGTATAGAAAATAATAATTTTATTTAAAGGAGAATATTTCAAATTTCTTATTCTAATAGGTACTTTTGAAATAATATTAATCGATTGCATAAAGAATTAGTAAAAAGTAAAATTTTTATCGTACTTTCCGCATTTTTTTGTCTTACGTCTATTAAGGAAAGTACAAAAAAAAATGTTCACTATTAACCCTAAAGTATCAGTTAGACCTTATTTGTTACCTAAAATCACCACCTAAATCAGTCCAAATTCGAGCATTTTTACTGATCCTAACTCATAAAAATTCTAAAACTATTTTATGGAATAATAATTTTTGCAAACACTCTAATTACAGATAGATAAGCATAGGGCTTTAAATCGATTTATTCAATTTTTGTATTAAATAATGGAATTGAAAACTTACCATAACAACGTTGGGTTCAACGAGAAATGCTGGGAATACAAATATTCAGAAACTTTCATCATCACCTTAATTTTTTGGTTTGTAGGACAACAACTTAAGTTGTATTAATTAATAAAAATTGTTTACTGAAAGTTAATAAAAAATACATTTTGAAAATCGAATGTGGCGGTAATATAAATGTACGTTTTTTGCATATTATATTAATACCAATACCAAGCAATACACACACACATTATACAAATTAATGTTTATCTAAGTCAAAAATTAAATTGTTATCTGTAAAACTGTATAATATTATTGATATACGAGATATTTATTTTCGTTAATTTTGAATCGTAATATTTCTTAATCAAAAGTTGATCCTCAAATTTATTAAGCTATTTGAGTAACTACCAGTCTATTTTTCTAATGTAAAATGTTATAATATTATGATATTTAAATATTTTGCGCTTGACACCAACTGGTAAAATTAGAATTGCTTATAAAAAATATTTACTAATAATAGGAATGATAAATAAAAGTATTATTATGACTAATAAGAACAAAGTATTTTTCCTGTTCAAATTCATTAAAATATTGTAATACCTATTAAACAATAATAATAATAATAATAATAATGCTTAAATATAATATAATACTTATTAATTGTTTTTATAAATCTATTTTATTGTTTTTGGATGGTATCTATTTGTACCTAATATAATAATATCAGAGCGTTATGTTTATTGTTGTTTATATATAATTATAGAAGTTATTATAATGTTCCTTATTAATAATAATTAATAATAGTGTGCTATATATATTTGTGTTCAATATTATTTACTAATTGCTCTACACCAATGTTACTTTATTTTGCTTTAATAAAGGGATGATGACTGTGTTGAAGACTGGAGCGGTACCTACGATGACATTGACATTTCTATCAATGTTTGTACTTCAAATGTCTAATAATTTTGTTCATATATATTTTTAGACAATTTGATTTCAAACGTTCTAGTCAGAAATACTTATTATGAGGGTTCTAGTATTAAATATTAAATCATTAATGTAAAACGATTTTTTTAATGAAACTCAAAAAAAAAAAAAACTATAAAATAGTTGATAAATTTGCGATTTTTATGTATTTAGTAAAAATTCTAACATGAAGTGTAGATAATAATAAATTGGGCATATTCATTTTTAAACTGATATAAGAACAACTTATGGGAACCTTTGTGTTTAATTTCAAAAATTTTTACCTAGCAATAAAATGGTTTTTTTTACATTTAAATTTTAAATAAATAAATTTAAACATTTTAAATGTTTATAAACAGTTCAAAAAGAGATGAATTGATTTAAAAATATTGTCATTTTTAGACAATTATAATTATACTTATTCAGCCATAATTTTAAGTAGCTATCTACAGTTATTTCTTTTTGAATTACTAGAATAAACAAAATAAATAGGTAGTCAAAAATTAATTTTGAATAAAAATTTCATTTTTTTCTGTTTTTTCCAATTTTTTAGAAAAGTACTGAGCATTTTTTATTTTAAACTCTCCAAACTAGATTTAATTTACTTTCAGAAACCATAATCTTAGTTGAAAATTGAAATATTTTTACTATCCAAAAGGTAATAATCAAGATAATTTAAAAAAAAGCACATATTGCTCTGCTCAAAACCTAAAAATCTTGAATGATATTAATTTTGACATAAATAAATTATAATATTAGTTTTGTGTGGTTCTTTTTTATTTCACAAAGAGAATATTTATTCATAGACATAAATTTGGTTTGTTAGAGGGGGGGGGGGGTTCAAATTATAAACATATAACAGGCTCGCGAAGAGCTTTACTCCTTGCATCCCCAATATATTATAAATTTTACAATTTTATTGTAACATTTACTATATAAATACTTCAAAATTATTATTTAACAAAACCATATTTTAATACATATATTGAGTAATAACGTTTTTTATTTCTATATTAATTTAACATTATTTATTTATATTCATCATCAATATTCTTAAGAATAGTATTTTCGTTAATATTTTTGGTATCGCTGTTTTCTATATATTATACAAGATAGAAACCTGATTGAAACTATCTTGTGATATAGTTGTTTGTAACCACATTTTTATCCGGCGCATAGCAGAGGAGCTTCTCTTACACGCGGAGGAACTAATTAGTAATATTACTAATATTAAAGCTATTTATACAAGTGAAACAAGTTTAGGTAAACATTTATATGTAACATAAGTAGGTCTGTGAATTTGTAGGAGTATAATTATATATATATTTTTTGGGGTGATTGTGAAACGTAGCTTTGTAACTTGTAAGTACATAATTTGAATTATGTAACAACGAATCAATTTATGAAACTTTTATTTTGCATTTTTTTACTTTTTAATTTTTTAGATTATTTTTTGCATTTTAAATCATATTTTCTTTTTTTAATTCATTTTCCGTCACTCTTAATTAAATTTTGTCATTTAATATCTTTAAAAACTTGATTATTAACAAAATAAATACATAAAAAAAATCTTAAAAAATCTTTCAGGTGAATAGCATTATATAAAATTCAAATTAAATTAACATTTTAAATATTTTTTTTTTTATTAAATAAACACATTTATACATGAAAAATGTTATTTACTAAATTTATAATATCTTATAGTATCATTATAAGTATAAAAATTAAATCAAAAATCATTTTAAGTGTATTTTTACTATAATTTTTGGCATTTTATATTGCATTTTTTGACATTTTTAATGTATTTTTTAGAGTTTTTAGTGCTTTAAATTCACAGTACTAAAAATAAGCTTTAAGTTACCTGCTGTGAATTCTATTTAAGTACCATATTATATTTAGATTATAAAACTTTTAACTAAAGCCTTTGAGCTTTCAATGAATTAACAGAAATACTTAACAAATCCTAAGAAATATGAAATATAAAATTTATTATTAATCAATATAATATAAAGTACATGATTCTCATAAAATGTTAATGCTATATTTACTTTAAAATAATGAATGAAGTAAGTACTTTATTCAAAATGCAGATTGAAAAAGTTATTGCTATAAAATATTAACGTAACTCCATCATTTTAATTTTATTACCTATGCCCATAAAGGGTACAAAATTAGAAATGTCAGTTTAAAGAGAAAATTTCTGAAAAAGTGACCAAATTAGAAAATATTTTTATTTCACAAAGTGGTTATGGCATATATGTTTAAAATAAATAAAATAAATATGCAATATATTAAATAAATAATTCATAATATATAAATGTATAATAGTGCAGTGTTTAAAACATCCTGCATTCTACATTTCTTAACCAATTATACTAAGTGTCCATAATCTAAAGTTTAAATCACATAAAATAACCATTTAGTGTCTACTAATAAATGTTATTAGTATTGTTATTTTTTTTTTTTAAATAAATTATTTTTCACTATGAGATGCTATAATCATGGTTATTTAAGTTAGTAAATAACAATGGTTATAAATGTATAATACATTAATATACTGGTAACAAATCTATGTCAGATGTGAAACTAAGTTAAGTATCTACCAAAAATGATGAATCACACGACACTCAGCGTTTCATTTTATTAGAAATTAAAATCAATGTATACTTACCTAAAATGGATAAAATAATAAATAGCAGAGGTTAGACTTAATCAAGAAAAAATTCAAATAGAAAACAGTTTCAATTATTTAGTAATGTTGACACTAAAAATTAAAATATTTTTAATTTAACTCGTATGTTTGATTTGAAACAAAATAAATTGGAAGCTGATAGTCAGTTATTGACTATACACATTAAAACAACAATAACAAATGTTTTAATTTGATGTAACGTTTGACTAAAGATAAAAAAGCTATGTTGTTTATAAATATATATGAAACTAAATAAAAACATTAGTTACAGTTTCGTGTTACTAACTGTATTCGTGAAAGATCGTTTTCAAGATTAAGTTTTACTAAAATTTAATTTCAAAACACAAGGTATAAAAGACCGCTTAGACCAACTATTAACAATGTTTGTTGTACAATGTTTTTCACATTATCTTCCATTTGTGACAAGTAAATTTCATATGCATTTATTTAAATTAAAATAAATTCTAAATGTGACATTAAACTTTGTAAAAATTGTTATTCAATGTGTTTAAATTGAGTTAAATGATTTTCTTGTCACAAGATTACATGTGATTAATATTTTGCTATCGAGGTTTAGACATGCCTATCTAATTAAATCTTTTTGAAGGTTTTTTGTCTTAATATATCATGAGAAGAGTTTTTTATTTACAAATAAATTGTCTGATTTCCTGCCAAAAGATAGATCTGGAAGCACCTATACATGTTGTCAAAAAAATAAGGTGTTCATCCAATATTTTACACTTGGGTTAGATTAGGATAAATGTATAAACATATGTATATATATATATATTTATATTATGTTAACTTATAATTAAATTAATGAATAAATAATATCTAGTCAACTAAAATTTATAACATTAATCTAATTTATATTTTTATTTTTACTAAGTAACAAGTTAGAATATACATTTCATAGTCTGCTTGATATTATAATTTATTATATTTAAAAAGTAATTGTTGGTGTTTAGGAATAAGCATGATACAAAAAATATAATGTGTTTCTAAATTAACAATAAATTTTCTTTAATACTTAGATATAAAGTATAGATGTAAGTTGGATAAAAAAATTGATATACTAATGTATAAATAATTAGTTTAGCTTCAATGGTGAAATAATAAAATATATACAATGCTAATTATTTGCCTATTTATTAAGCACTTTGCTGAGTGACGGAGCAGACAATTTAACACCGTTAGGTATATTTCTAGCAATATCCTGTACATTGACGCTTTTCATTAAGTTTTTTTCTCTAGTTGTTGAAGTTTTGTCTTTTAAAAAGAGATTCAAACATGTTTTTGACGCTTTACCTCTTTTTGTGTTTCCTGGTGTTAATTTTAACTTGTATCTAATAAAAAAAAACAGGTTTAGTTTAATTTCAAAACATTTAAAATAAAATTAATTACTTATAATTTGTGAGGGCAGTGTAAGGCGCTACTACTGGTACAGCAAAAAGTAATTCATCTTCAGCGTATGGTATACCAGTTAATGAATCCAACATTTGAGTCTCAGTTAAATCTGTTGCTTTATCTGTTTCATCATCTGAGTTTTCATTATCCTCAGATTTTTTTATTGGTTCCTTTTGAACTTCGAATTGAGTTGTATCATTTGATGCTTCTAAAAGCATAGGCAAAGGTTTAATGAATGTTTGTTTATTTCCTGTAGTCTTATTTTTGTCGGTTGACTTTTTATTCTTTTTATCTTTCTTTTTGGCTCGTTTCAGCTTTTTGTCTTCATTCATCGATGACTAAAATAAAATAAACATACTTTAATTATTTATTTATAGAAAAAAATTACAAGAATGTATTTTTTAAGAAAGTAAAAAAATAATTATTATGACACTAATAATACAAAACGTTACACGAGTTAAAGTATAACTTAAAGATAGAATAATAGAAAACATATAGGACAATCAATATCTATTACCAATCAAACAAAAACTATACTCAGATAAATAAGCTAAAATTTAGCATAATCATTTGTTTTATATTTATTATTTAAAAAAAGGTTAGTCTAATCCTCACATAAAATATGACCTTTAAACAATAATTATGATAATTATAATGATTTTAGTTATTTTTTTGTAATTCAAAAAAAATATTATTTGTAAGAACATGAAAATTTTTAATACTACATATTTATATTATTATTTTCTATTTATAATGCAAATTAAAATAATTGTACATATTTTAATTTAATACTACTGGGTTGGTTCACAGTTACTCGTGAATAAGGGCACAATAAATATTGAAACACGCTATAATCACTCAAACACTGAGTTTCAGTATGAGGAGCGGGGCATTTATAAAATATTCACTTCTAATTAGGCCACATCAAGTACATACTTTTACTGTACTAAATAAGTCCAATCTTAAGCATTTCACTTATTGTTATACTCTTATTTCTCAACATATCAATTTAAATAAGTAATAAGTGGTAAAGTTACCTTTGTTTAATTTCAAAAAATAATAATTAAACAATAAAATATGTAAATTATATACTTAAAATAATTGATTTTATTTTTATTAATTATTTTTTAGCTTTTTGTAAAATAATAATTAATTATTAGTATTCTTAATTTATAGTTATGCTTAAGATCTCTTTAAATGTTACTAGAGGCTAATAAATAATAAAATAAACAAGAATTTTACTTTTAAGTCAATTGTGCAATATTCATATAATAGCAAACCTAAATAATTTTATTTTAGATTGATTAATTGGAATATTTTTTCATAACTTAGGTACATTTTGTATACTTATAGTTTTTAATATACATTACATGCAATAATTTAATTCTCATTTCTCTTTCATCTTCATCTTGATCTTTGTATTTTTCTTTGATTCTCTTTAATTTTCCTCGTTGACCTCGTTTTAAAACTTGTGGTTTCACTGTTTCATTTTTCCTATCTGTAAATTAAATATGAATTAACTATGAAAATAAAATGTAAAAAAAATTATATTTTATTCAGTTTTTATACAATTTCAAAACTTAAGATTGTTTAAATAAACAAAATTAACAGTGAAGGGTCAATTACCCACACTAATTTTCATAGGGTAGAGTAAAGGGGGGCTAATAATTAACTTATGTTAACAAATAACAATAAACATGAAATTAAAAATTTAGTTTAAAATAAAATTTATATATGCATAGTGTATGATCTAAATGTATAGTATTATTTAAAGTAGGATATTTATGTCCTAACGTTCATTTTTTTAATATGTAGTACATAAAATAATATTGAATTTCTTAATAAGAATAGTATAACTATGATCTGAAAATAAATTAATGTTAACTCATGGATAATCAACACTATACTGTAATAATTTACTAAATAATTTAAGTTGAGTTTTAACTTTTTACAAAGTCTTACCTAAATTATGAACTTCATTCTGCTTGTCATCATCATCATCACTATCTGAAGATACAAGATTAGATTTTTCAACAGTCTCGCATGAATTATTACAATTTGGAATACTCGTTTTATCTATAACACTGATAAATAAAACCATACATTTAAATAAAGTTTAAGTATAGTAAGTAGATAAGTTATGTGTAGAATATCAAAATATATGGTAGATAATTTAATTGATTTTATATTAGAATAAAAGTAATATATTATTAGAGTTTGAAGATAAATAAAACCTTTAGGACCAAAAGAAAAGTTTAAAATAATACAAAATAATTGATTTTTAGGTTTTAAATTGAATAACAGCCATACAATAAATATAATCAAAGTTGTTATATATGAGTATATATGTTTATACTTTTTAAATATATTTAATTTTTTAAAAAGCAAATATGTAGGCAATTGCTCTGTTATTCAGTAAGTATTGAGTGTAATCGTTGCAATAATAAATATGTTAAATTTGAATTCAATAATAAATTGTTCATAATATGAATGAATAATTATCTGAATTCTCAGTTCACTGATATCCAATTTTAACATTCAGTTGGCCAACATTCTATTAACAGATATTATAGATTAAAGCACTATTAATGAATGGGTAAAAGTACATTATTATTTTATTAAAAAAAAATAAAAAAAATGATAAATTATGAAATCCGTCAGCCTATGTTATAATATATTTATATTGATAGTATAATATTTTATTTTTTTTATCAAAATGATAATATCATATGTTATTAACTTATAAGAAAATATCAATTTATTGTAGAACAGTGTGAATAGATTTATGTTAAATTGTATACAAAAATATTAAAAAATTTATAAAAGACAACAGCCTAAAAATATCTTTGTATTTTGAAAATTTTATTGTGTATAGTATAATTATATAAAACAGTGATGTCTTTAGGATTTTTTCAGGAAAAGGAATTTATATTGGCAAACATATAAATTTTTCAAAGCATTGAATAGTAAGTCATTCTGGAATAAAGATAAAGTAATGTAATAAATAATAAAAATAACTGGTATTATAATGTTTTAATTTGATTGTTATTTGTATTTTGGTGTATAATTGAAATTATTTAGAAATGTCTTTCTTCACCAGGCCATTTCCTGTAGCTAAAGAACCACTAATAATGAAACTAAATCCACTTCTCCAAATTTCGTGAAAAACGTCAAATCCTTTCTACTCCATGGTATGTTAAAAACACCAATCTTCATAACAATAAAAAAAATCCAAATACTATCTCAATGAACAAAATCCCATTTCCTCTCATTCCACTTAGCTAATTCACTATAATAAATCGACTCTCTAACTTCTTGACAATTCTTCAAAAATATTAAAACAATTTTGGCCTATGATATTTGCTTATTTAATCTGTTAGATGATATTACTAATTACCTTTTCACTCTGTAATTTTCAATTATTTACTCTGATATAAAAATTACTAATTTTACAAACAATTTTATAGATTGTAACAATACTTAAAAATAAAAAAAATATGTCATTACTCTTTTGATGTTTCATCATCAGATCTTAAACTTTCTTGTTCATTTTCATATTTTTCTGAATGTTTATTATCTGTTTTAACTTCTAAATTTTTGCCATCATCATTAACTACATATGGAGTTTCTTTGTTTTGCAATTCAATTTTTTTTTCTAGATCTAAATAATATTTAAACATATACTTTTTTAAAAATATTATCAAAAATTATATGATGAATAATAAATAAATTTATATTTTAGTATTATAAATATTTAAAAAAGTAATACCTTACCTTCATCACTTTCATTTTCACTCGGTATATTTTCAAATTCATCATTATTTTCTGCAATTTTATCTAAAGCTTCATATTCGATACCCTTAACTTTGCGTTCATTTGCATGTCTAAACACATTTTTTCATAATTATAATTGATTTTATAAGTTATATAAATATATTTTTTAATATTTACCTAGGTATTGAACTATCTTCTAGTTTAAATAGAAAACTTAAACCTAATATAAGATGAGTTGCTGGTAAATAGTTTTTTTTACCACGTATCATAAAGCTGCCAGTAGTTAAATATTCTCCAGTGGGTGCAGTTTTGGATACTTGTTCTGGTTTTACCCAAAATGCATTTTGTAAATTCATTTTCAAGGACCAAGAAACACTATAATTATAAAAAAAGCAATGTGTTAATTTTGAACATAGTTTATCATTAATTATTAAATGAAAAGGAATTATAAATTACGCTATTTATAAAAAATAAACATAATATAATGCAAATTATTTAAATAAATGATTTTTAATACAGACAAAGTCGAAAATCATATTAATTTTTTAGTGTAAAAAACAGTTGTTTAGTTAAACAAAGATTTAATAATCTTAAGAATATTATATAGAAATAACAATATAAATTGATTTGATTTTTAATAATAACATTAAATTTTAATAGTTTACTATTTAAAATAAATAAGTTTCAAAAACAAAAAAAAATTGAATAAATAGATTTAAAAAAAGTATATAATTTTTTTGAAATACAAATAAATAATAGTAACATTGTATTAACACAAAAAGTCACTAATAAAAAGGTTAAATGTTTGGAAACCATATTTAAAGTTATTTATTCACTGAAATATTATTTTCAACCTTCTTATCAAATCATTAGTTGACATAATTTATTGAATAAACTAAGAGCTATATTATTTTATGCACTAAATAAAAATAATACCTATTAACTATAATAGAGAGGGTGGAAGTGCCATATTTACAAATTCTATCATTAATTCATTTTTATTAATGGTTTATGTATATACTAACTGATCCAGCACAGATTTGTGTGTAATTAATCAAATACCCATGGATTTACCCTTTCTTAAATTTTATTAAATATAAGCTACACAGATGTTTAACAGTTATTTCTATTTTTAATTAAATATAAAATCTAAAACTAAATGTATATCCAAATACCAGCCCCTAGTATATATAAAATACTAGTATTTTGTGAGTCAACTATATGCATTATTTATGCAATATGTTCACTATTTATTAACTGAAAAGTAAAAGATAAGCATGGCTGATAGAGAATAACAATATTTAAAAAAGTGAATAATTGATTTAATTTTATCATATAATTAGTAATCAAAAAGTAATCTATAAAAGTATGCTACCTAACATATTACTGTAATTAAATAATGTTTTTCTCTAAATCTCTAAATATAACTTAATTAATTCTTGTTACCTTATTTACAAAAATAATTATTATAAAATAATAGTATAACAGTATTATTTTTCAAAATGTTTTTTTAAATATTTACATTAGTGGTTATTAGAATTAAAGTTTATGGAAATAAATATTTTTTAGGAACAACATTTATTTTAACAGAACACAATTAAAATTGCACTTATTTATGTGCATGCACTAAAAAATAACAACAAATAATTTTAATTTAGGCATATTAGGTTAATAAATGACTTGAAGTATTTATAGTACTTTATTTTTAATTTCGAAGACACTTCGGGAGTAGGGGGTCTGGGGGGTTATAACCCCTTAAACCCCCTCCATCACAGGATACGCCACTGAATCAAATCATCATAGTCCTAAAATTCTTGTTGAATTAATTAAAAAAAAAATTGTAAGAGAAATGTTAAAAAATTGTAGTTTTTTAAAAGAAACGTCCCTTTTTAAGGCATTTGGTATTTTATTTAAGAGATATTTTTATTAATTATAACATTAATAATTAATCCTCCACAGGTTTAACTGTGTAAAATTAAAAATTCAGTGGGCCTGCTTTGTTTTAAATTTTATCACATATAAACTAAAATATTTTTAACACATATATTTGAATAGTTTTTACCAAATTTAAATGCAGGTCTAGAATTATATCCAATTATAATAATTATTTTATTTTTTTTAACTAAACCTTCCTAATCAAATAAACTAATATTAAATTTCTATTTGCTAAAACAAAATCCATGAATAAGTCCACCTTGAAAATCCTTTCTTATATTACTATTATACCTTTAAAGATTTATACTACATAAATTTAAAATTTATAAGTCAATTTGATTTGATTTAGGTATTGATGAATGAGTGAGCGTGTTGCAAAACTTTTTTTAAATATAGATTTAAGTTGATTTTAATTTATAAGTGCAACTTACAAATGGAACTTTTTGAAAATTGTAAATCATTAATTATTATTAGTACATCTTTGATTTGGATTAAATAATTGTAATATTAAATAAGAATTTGTTTTTAACTAAAAAATATTTATTTTAAACTTGTTTTCATATTTGTTTATAATTTATTTAGCATTAGTTTATTTTCTAATTTTATACTAAGACTGAAATTAAATTGTGTAGAAAAACAATCAGTTTGAAAAATACAAATATAATTTGTTATCTTAATAATTTTCGTTGGATAGATTTGAATAGGCTATTTAGTCATTAGTGTCAGATAAAACTCATCATATCTTTGGTGAATATTTGTTCAGTGATTATTAGCAATCATTCTATTAGTAAGATAAGAAAATCAAATTATTTTTCTTGTATTGATAAGAAAAAGAGAATTTTTTTTATGTATTGCGGTAATGCTAAATCAACATTTTAAAACTTCTGTTTGTGGCTTTTCTGTTAAGTTGACAAATTATTATATTTATTGAATTTTGTGTTTCATAAAATTATTTAGTACATTAATCTTATTTTATCCCACATAAATTTAATTTACTAATATTTCTATAAAATTATGGCTTTTAGTCGTTTTAAAATATTTAATAACCTGTATGAAATTGCCATAACAGCTGCTTCATTAAGCGTAGCAGGGGGGACAGTTTGATTAGTTGGATTTTTAATTATAACAGTTGTAGCTCCACTAAATCCAGCATGTACATAAACATCTGATGATTTCATGTATCGCTTTACAATAACTTCATTTTGGTGAGCGTCACGTCCAGCAATAACTAAAAATGAAAAATAAATTAGATAAGAATTGCAAATAAAAAAAAAAGGTATACATTATATTTTTGTTAATTTAAAATATTAAACTGTTACTAAAAAATTATAATTTTTAATCACTAGGAATATATTTTAAATTTAATGCAAAACTATTAAATTTATAAAATGTATCTAAATAGTGATTGTCAACATTAAAAAAATAAAATAAGTCTAAACAAATAAATAACTTAACTGAAGTTATAAAATAACACTGCTATTAAAAATATGTTATCTATATGGTAATTTATATTTTATATATTGCATATATAATATTAATTAAATCTAAAATTTAAGCCATAATCTTAATATTTATTAGAATTGAAAATTTGATTTGCATTAGATATGCACAATAAAGTTTATTTAGAATTGAATTTGAGTTAAACTTTGACACAATTCTTGAGAAAGAGGTATGACATTGAAAATGTAAAGATACAGTGATCAACCTATGGTATTAAAAAGTTAAATGTTACAAATGGAGAGAAAGTAGAAATAGAAAAACAAGTACTAAGGTATAAGAAACATTTTTTTTTTTTTTTAATGAACTTAAAGTGACTGAGGCCATTAGCTGTTGTAGGGGTTATGAACTGTGAGTAGGGGTAGGGTTGGTACGGTAGGTTGTTTTTACGACTGTTATGGTTGTTACGGCTGATAGCAAACACGTGTATATTTGGCAAGGCTTTTAACCATTATTAAGCCGAGTGGTCACCCATGCGGGAACTAGTAGCTGTGGCCGTTACTTACTCCCAGTCGCATTCCGCAACTGTTAGCAGCCAATGCACCACGCCAAGCCACGAAACAATTATTATTGAAATTGTTTAGATGCTTATTAGCTAATATATTTTTCACATACTATATACTATAATAAACAAATACACAATAGAGTATAATACTTATGTAAGCTAGCAGTTGATATCACTAATAAAGAGTTCATAAACAAAATTAACATTGAATAGTAACCATAGTCTTTAATGATTTTATACACCTCCCCTTTTTAAATATTAGTAATCTAATCAGAGGATTATGATTAAGTACTTTAGTTTTGTAGATATAAAAATGTAAACAAAACTTTTTTGGACCTTATCTAATTTATTTATTAAATAAAATTGATTAAAACTCCATAATATGGTACAAAATTCATTTGAAAATATTACAATAGAACAATATAGTACTTAAAGATACAAAGAATCATTAAAATTATAGCAGATCCATTTGATGAATCCTCATACATGTATTTTTTCCATAAATTGCATTTATGAGGGTATTAAGGGATAAATTTTCCCAACAGGATAATATTCGAACATGTACTTGATTGGTAGAGTGGAAGGATTTACCATTAACATGTACTGAGAATTTAAAAGAGATTTAAAAAGATAAAAAGAAATGTGAATATATTTGAAAGTATCCAATGACATACCATTTTCATGTTAGTAAAAAAAGGACATCATCAGTAGAACGGATAGATATAATTAATTACATGCTTATTAAAATAATAAATTAAAAGATAATACATAAATTAATGATTTCATAAAAGAAAACCTCTACTCATTTATGTAGAAATGTGAGGTACCAAAGTTGGTGTTGATTGTTACAGACTAAAGGCTCTGAAGAATATATAAAAATAGGTCAATGATAGATGTACGATTTCAAATAATTATAATGTGAAATTAATAAGTAATTTTTTTAACTAAATGTGTTTACAACTAAAACAAATGGTTTAATTAAGAAAATTAATGACTTTATATTTATTATTTGATTTTATAAAACAAATAAATCACTAGTGTAATGGTTATGATCTAATCATAAATGTTTAATTTACCTAAATAATTTTCGGAAGATATAAACCAATAAAACTTTTCAAACCAATATGTTTTGCGAACTTTATTTATAGAAGCAACAACTTGCATGTCTTTCAAAGTTTGTTTAGTTTTTTTTTCAGCCATTTTCAATACTGTGCTTGAAGAGTCAATGGTTTTTTTCTCTTTTATAGCCGATTGTTTTTTAGATCCATAATATCTATGATATTAAAAATAAATATTAATACATATTTATTATAAAATAAAAAAAAATAATTCTCTTTTTTACCTTTGAGCATTTCCAAAAGCAGATTGACTTAAATCTATATCAATTAATTGACCGTTTTCTTCATTATGGTTTTCTTCATTATAAGGATCACTTAATGATAATAATAATGGAAAAAATAATAAAAATTAAATTAAATATGAATGATAATTTATGAAGATTATTTTAGGAAAAACTTACAACAATTTAAGAGTAATATGATTCACACCCAATTTCAAATTTGTAACTATTGCATATGTACATCCTTCATCTTCAAAATTTAATTGTCTTACCATATCCCAAATTTCATCCCAATGAAGTTGTTTTGCTACTGCTTGCCTAACAAACTGTATAGTTCTGTCAACAAGATCCAAATTATTGGTTATTAATTCAGCTTTAAACTTATGTTCATCTTGGGCATCTTGAAGTTTTTTAAGTCGTTCTTCGTGGTCTTTTACAATATTTTGTAGTTTTTTCACTGCTCCTTTTTCCTTTTAAAAAATATTATTTAGATAGATAATTAATAATAACATTATTTTAAAACATGAAGCGAGAATTTTGTATCACATTGGTTTGAAATAAATCACTTTAACTAATATTAAAATAGTATTGGATGGATTTTTGAAATGTTTGAAGCATGAGCAAAGTAATAAATGTATTAAATTTACAATATGTATTATTTTTTGTTTGTCATTACCATTTAGGGCAGTAAAAATGTTTTGATTTTTAATATTGGGGCTAGTCTTTAGTCGAAAATTGAATATAATTTGTACATTATTTTTTAAAAAATGTTCAATAGTTTTCAAAATTATTGTAAGTCTTTACAAAAAACCAATACTTAACGGTTTTTGAAATTCATCAAAATCACAAACATTTGTAAATTAATTTATAGCTAGATACTTATAAAAATTTTTCTTTTTGAATTGGATATTCAATTTAACATTTCTTATGAGTTTCTTTACTAATATGGAAAAAATAAGTAGTTAAGTTTTAGTTTTTTTATGATTTTTGTTTGCTGAAATAAATTCCCTATTTGAATCCATCATTAAAATGAGAATTTTATAAAATCCTATCGTAACTCACTACTACATTATTAGATGTATATTATAAAAATTCCAAGTCTCTAGTTCCCGCAGTTTGGTCTTGACATTGATGAATAAGTGTATCACACATTTTCTTTAATAAATATAATATATTAATATGTATATATATTATATATATATAGATTTAAGTTGATTATAATTTATAAATAAAACTTTTTGGAAATAGTTAACCAATCATTATTAGTATAATTCTAGTTTAAAGTTGTAATATTTTCATATTCTTACTAAATATATGCACAACTAAAAGGGTTTTAAAATTTAGGTGTTTCAAATCAAATAATTTTATAGATAAAGTATTATTTTGCATATTGATGTATACACAATTATAGTATAAAAGTTAATATGAAACATGAAACTGTATTAATAACATATATGCAGCTATTATTTATAAAAATAAATAAATAAATACATAGCGCTGCTACCGTGGTTTATGATGGATATCTGATTGAATCTAGTTTACTAGTCTTATCATTCTTATTGTTTTTGTTAATTTTTATCAGATACTAAGATTTAAATACCTTCAATATAGTGAACTAATTAAAAATAATAGATATATAGTACTATTAGTAACCTACTGTTATTTTAATATTTTATAATTTTAATGTTTTTAACACTTTAATAAAATAATAAATACAAAAGTGATTTTCTAAAAGTTTGAAACTTTTTGTGCCTATTGAAGAATATTTTTCTATTTTTATCATGTTTTACCCTTTTAAGTAGTAAAAAATAAAATAAAATTTTAACAATTTTTTTTTCATTAATTAATGCTTATATTATAAATTAGTTAATATGTACATTTATTTCAAACTCACATATAATTTTCATTAGAATTAGTATTATTTCTGATAAGATTTCATACTAAGACTGAAATTAGGTTAAAAAAATAAACTATTTTTATTGGATAAAAATACGAATTTGTCGAAAAACGGAAAAATACTTTCTATAGTTATATATACTAAAAAAAATGGTACACACTTGCCTATCTTTTTAAAATATAATATCTAAGTCACCATAAAGTCTTGTTTAAATATACTAACTTGTTGCATGCACTTAACATCATATTTCTGACTTTCTAAATTTGAATAAAATTCATCAACCGCTTCATTAAAACTTCCATAAGTTTTTGAAGGTAAATTCTGGTGTTGGGCAAATAAAAAAGGATGATATTCTTGATTGGTACACAATTCTTTCATAGTACCATCAGGCAACAATTGTCGATCAATTTTTTGAATTATAAAACCCTAGAACATGATTTTTTAAAGCTATAAATAAAATAAAACTTCATATTCTTAAATATCTATAAACATAGTTGCGTGATAACATATTTTGTTATTATGTATCGGCAATTTATACAGACAAATAAAAACTTGAAATCTTTATTTCATAAATATAAAATTGTAATAAATTACATTACAATCTAAATAGTACTAACTAATAACTAATAAAAGTTGATACTATAGTAATTATTATTATATAATTTTCAAATAAATTCTAAAATTTTACCCTAAGTATTAATAACAGTATTTATAAATAAATAAAAAAATTGTATCATATTTAAATAATGGTCTTAATTATGTATAAATTATTATCAATTACATTTAATTTTAAATTACAATAATATACTGTAAGTTATAAAAAAAAAAAATATAATATTTAAATTTAAAGCTTAGATAGTTTTTTCAAGAGATATCATGTTTATTGAACTTATAAATATAATCTTTAATAGAACATTGCTTAATTGTTTATCTGTAAATTCTAGAAATTTTACAACTTTTTATACTTTTATGATTAAATCTCTCTTATTTGATTAATTTTAAAATACGGTTCAACAGGTCAATAATTTAGAGCCCAATTCAGAACTTGAACAACTTTTAAAATTATTGAAACATGTCAATGCAAACAATTAAGTTTAACTAACATTGAAATCATTTGTAACATAGTTTAATAATGAAACTTTGAATTTCAGAAGCCATTTTAATGATTTTAGCTGACTAAATTATTTGATAAATTCTTAAATGAACTATCCTGAAATTTTATCTCTAATCCCTATTATATAAAATTTCATATTATTAAGATTCGCGTGTCATGAAACCCAAAATTAAAAGTAATGAATAAGTGGATTTTCTTTGCTCAGTTCTTTATCCTATGCAATGATTTATTATTAAATTTAAATTCAACATAAACATGAGCATATATTGATTTATACATATTTGAGTAAACTCAACACTTCTACTGTATAGCAGAGCAGTTATCTTTCTCTTGTTTTTTTTTTTTTTTACAAAATATTAAAAGAATATTTTAAGTTTTCCAAACATAAATCAACTTTTAACTAATATTTAAAAAAAAATATCAGGAGAATAAATTACCTATTTTAAACAACATAATATTATATTTTAACATAATTTTTAGAACTTAAATCTAATTTCTATTCATTACAATGTATGTTTAATAAACATTCTAATAGGAAAGCATAAAAAAAAAAAAATATAATATTCACTTACTTCTTTTAATGTAGTTATATTGTCTAAAAACTTCTCAGCAATAATAAAACAATTCATAAGCTTTTGAATATCTGTGTCAATATTAAATTCAACACCAATTTTGGTATTTGTTGAAAAACCACCACTTATTAACATATGTTCCAATAAAGAATTACCATAATCTATAAGATATAAAAAAAATTAAAAATGTTAATAGAAAGTTAAATAATAATTATTAGTATTAATAATAATAATAATAATAATAATGATTTAAAAATTTCTAACCTAAACAATTTGGAAAATTTGAAAAAATAAATTTTTTTAAGTTTGTTGAAGGTTTAGCTGTTTTTAGAACTTGAATCAAAGAATCTTCAGTTGGTGGACTAAGTCGAATTTTTGGTCTACTATTAGGGTATACCTCTTTAACAAAAAACCTATAATATTAAAAAATAAATGAATAAATGATTTAATTAATAAATATACAAACAAAATTCATCTAAGTAATTAAATTGATTATTTAACATATTTAGGGAAACTGAATAAATATTTTACTTCTGCTTTTCATCCTCGGTGTGTGGACGTAAAATATTTATCATAATATAATCTTTATCTGCTAAAATAATATTGCCTTTATCATATAATTCTAATATAACATGATATGCTGCTTCTCCAACACCAAACTGTAGATCAATAATTCGATCAAATCCCATTTGTGTTAATTTTTCCAACCGTTTGTTTGATAAGTGTTTTCTTAGCTAAATTCAACAAATGATTTATTGTTATTAAAAATAAGAGTTAATGAAAAGTTAATCTTAAATTAATATTCAAATATACAAGTATATAGTTTAATTAATTTTCATTGCAAGATAAGTCAAAGTTTATATAAAAATTTAATACTATTCTATCTAATCACTAAAATCATTATGATTATGTAGATATAATAGTAGGTATGTTATTATAATTTAATAAAAAATAATAATGACTGTTTAATGGTTAGGAATAATATAATTATTATATAATAATAATACTCTATAAATAGTTCTAAAACTATAAACAAATTATTGAAAATGTATTTCAATTTTATTTATTAAAATGCAAGTCATAAGAAATTACAAAAAAAAACATTTATAAAATGTAACTTGACAACTTGACATAGTTAAAATAATATACCTTCATGCTAAAACTACTAGGAGCTTCATTCTTAGTCCATTCATAATTAGTAACATGTAATCGAACACCAGATTCCAATAGTATCACACACTTTTCGCTGTTAAGTTGAAATTTAAACAAATATGTTTTATGATCTATGTCATAAACTCTTTGTAATCTCATGCCTTTGTATCTATAAAAACAAATAAAACCATTCATATATAAAATACATTAACAATTAAAATATAATTAAATATTAATGATAACAATTATATTTACAAATTTGAAACAACTTGTTTAATTTTGATATTATTTTAACAAGATTTAATTTATAATTACAATGGTAAAAATATAATATAATAGTGTCAATAATTGATATTTTTAGTTTATAAATTTATATTTTGAAATTATTTCTAATAGGGAATTGCCTACTTTTGTATTAATTTTGAAAAAAAAAATAATAATAAATAAATTGCAGTGATTTACTACTAATTCATCTATTTCTAAAATATGACCAGAATACGTATTTGTAAATTCCTGTGTTAAATTTAAAATTAATCTTTAAAACTTTTATTATCTTTGTCATTTAAAACAAAAAAATGTTACTACCATTATTTATAATATTATGAAACTTAGCATAAGTTTATTCAAGTACATTAAACATTATATTGTCATTTCTAATTATTTTAAAACCACATCATTATGTTCTATTTTCTCCTTTGGTACTTATATTCTTTAAAATTTACAAAACCAATATTATGATACTTTAATTCATAACATTATTATTATTTATTGTTAACATTTTTTTTCACATGTGTATATTGTTTAACTTATTACCATTACTTTAATACTGTGTGTCTTATAACTCTCACTTCTACATAGCCAATGGTTTGAAAGTGACCAACTTCTGTTACTTTAATTATATAATAAAATGTAAAACTATAGTTGGAAATAAATCAATAAATAAATTTGACTAATGATGCATCATTAATACAAATAGATTGGAATATTCAGTCAAATTAGTAAACAAATTATTCTTAAATATTGAAAAGTATAAAATAATAACATTTTCTAGGTGTTGAGTTTCACATCTAAACTCTTAACTAAGTTAACATTTCATGATACGTATCAATGATTTAAGTGTAATATTTGATTATACTATTTTTTTTCAATAAACACTTATAACATTAGTAATTATTCTATAATATTAAGTTTTATTATTAGTAATTGTAAAGACTTCACAAATCTTATTGTATTATACATTTTATTTATATCCTTAATCCAAGTGAAATTTGTAGCTTGATTCTCTTACATAAAATATTAAATTTAATTCTTAGATAATATTAAAAATTGTTTCCTACATTTTTAGCATTCAGATGTAAGATTATTCATGAGCCACATTTTTCTCAGCTATAATTACATTTTTTTTTGTTTAAACTTATAAATGGTTATATTGGTTGTCCAGAACTTTGAAGTTTTTTAAATTTTAATATCATTAAATATACTTAGAACTAGATCTAATATTATTATTTATAAATTAAAAAAAAAGAATAAACTATGCTTTGATTTCACCTATTAGTAGAATTATATCATTAGTAGACAAAACAAAATTTTAATTATTTAACTTTATTATCTTTAAATCTTTTAGTAATATTGTGTGAAAAGAATATTTTGTATTCTATGTTTTATAATATTGTAAGTATTATTTGTATTATTTTCATTTATATTACTATCAATATATTGTATTTGGGTTTTGTGATCCATTGAAATTTAAAAAAAATATACAGTTGAACCTTAATAGTCTGGACCCTCGATAATCTGATGAATATAGTAATTCGGAAGGCATAAGTCTATTTGTTCATAAATACAATTGTTGCTTGTTCGAAATTCTTCAAATAAAAAAATTACTGACTACAATACTTAAATTCTATTATTAAAAACATTTTTTTTTTTTTTAAATTCATTATGTTAAAGTTATTTATTAGTTTTGTAATTTAAGTGCAATAAATATAAAAGTGGTGGAATTAAAAATAAAAATCTTAGTTACTTGAGTAGATTATCTTGAAAATCTTAATAGTCCGGACAAATTAATAATCCGAACAATTGAGGCTCTACTGTATATGTATATACAAAATAGAATTTTCATTGTTTAATTAAGTTGGTTCTTTCTCACATTAATACTTACTTGATACAGAAAAATATTTCAATAAATACACATTTTTTCAAAAAAATCACAATTATCTTTCCATAGCCATTATATTTTTAAATTTTTAAATGTCGAAGATCATGATTATAATATCAATTAATAATTACAAAACTTCAAACTGTAAGCTTCTAAAGTAGATAATCATAAATTGCTATTAATGAATAGAGGGGGTCAGTAGTTTAATTAGTTAAAATGGACAAAACATGAATGGAAATAAACACAAAAAACTCAATTTTTTTAGAATACAGTAAATAATAAACATGTACTTTTAGCAGAAAAATGAAGAAATATGCAAAATAAACATTTAATATGTTTGGCTTTAAACACATTCTTGTGTAGAATAAATTTTCAGTTAAGTCTGTAATTATTTGAGTAAATATAGGTTAGGTGTTAAAATATGAAACTCGCTAACACTTCATCTTTAAACAAACATTTACCAAATATATCCTACAACTTACAAGCCCTACTAATGAGTACCTAATGACTTATCTTAATATAGTACATACAATTATATTTTCATTTTAAGCATTAAGAATATATATACCTAATATTCTAAAACCATTGGTTTTGCTAATAAAATATGGCTAGTAAATATTATACTTTAAACACAGAGATCTTTAGTCAAACGAGTTACTGCAAAACATCTTAACACTCACTTTTGAATTTCGTTGACGATACACATAATGTCCAACGTGGAGAATCGCGTTTTCATTTTGATGTAGTTTTTGTTCAATCATTAAAAAAAAATATTTATAGATTTGCAAGTCGCCGGAACTCTTGTTTTTGTAAGAAATTCAACTCTAAAATCACGTAATAAATCGCTGCACTTCAAAAACACATGAGTCTTTACTTACGTACATTGTTGATTGTAGAGTTTCTTGATTAGATATCGTGACCGTTATCATTAATAGATAACTCGTTACGGTTACGATTCGCCCAATGAGCGGACGCATCGACCAAAATGAAATTAGTAAATAGTTGTCAGTCACCGATCTGAGTATTATATTTTAAATTTTCAAAATAATAATTAATAACATGGTCGGCATAGTCCATCGTCAAAATATTATAAAACAATAATTGTTTTTTACGTCTGTGCCCTGTGGACTGTAGTTGATACTTATTTTCATAGATTATTTTTTTCTATGACCTATAGGTTTTATACATAGACATAATTCATATTTCATATTTAGGTAGGTACATCTATTGACCTAGGTATTGTATAATATTATCATAGTATACGTACGTATTCTCTACTTACCTACGTAACGCACCAAATTTATAGACAAATATGTATTATACGTTAATACTAATTTATTAAAATTATACTAGAAACATATTAAATAATATCTAGCTGGTATACTGTACCTATATCTACCAATACAAAGTGTTAATGTATAATATACTAGTATGTAGTTTAAATGTAAAATAGATTAATTTGTTTTATTAATATGGTTCTAGTTTATCCCACCTATCCGGCTATCCAAATTGCGTACCGAATATTCACCAAAAATACTTCATCTTTAAACGAAATACGTACCAAATAGGTAAGTACCTACTAAAGTTCTTACCTAAATCCTTAAATGTCTATTTCATATTTGTAATAAATGCACGAAGATATCGTTAATGTATCTTTATTATGTCAAAATGTCTAGTATTACAGATTGTTTGTACCCGTTATATACGATTAGTCGTGAAATAGTTATTTTTTAAACTGTCTAAATACCTAATGGTACACCCGTAAATTATATTAATAAAAACCAAATTCCTTCGTATACAAAATATTATTTAGTGTTCATATCTACGTTAAGTTAAACACTATAATAATCACATGTTTGCAATATTTTGATACATTTTCTACAAAACCATGTTTTTTCTATGCAACCTCGAGCTCCGTTAATAATAATGTCATCCCGCGGTCTTGATTAAAATATTAAATTATTTCAACCATGGATAATATCATTTAGCTCTTTAGAACTGCTTAGAACCTAAAAATGTGATTATACCTAGATATATACATATCAAGCGTACAGTTAATAAAAAATAGGTAGGTCAGTAAGTACTTACTTATAGTATGACACATTGAAACTATGCTTTTATAATTAACAAGTTTTTTAAAAGAAAAAAAGTTCCATAAATATCTATGTGTTAAAACATATAGAAATATTTGTATGATGAATCATCAATGAGTACAGTAAATATTAATTAAATACGTAAGAAATTGTCAAAAACTGTGTGAAATAAATATTGCTCACTGCAAGAACTGAGAATATTACAATTTCAAATGGAAACGTTTTAAAATTATGATGCGAAATTTTATTTTATTTAACAAAAATTAGTTAAGATTGCACAAAGAAAAATACAATAATTGTATAAAGGTATTTGAAAAAAAAAAGTTTTTTATTGATATTTACTCATTTTGACTGGTAGGTTTATTGAATAATTTGTAAATGACGCATGACTAAACACGAGTTAAATAAATAAGGCCATTTTTAAAGTCAGAATTTCCTAGTAAAAATTATTGAAGTTTCACCTTCTTGAAATTGTTCTTATTATTCGCAATACGTTTTGTGAAAATAAAATTTTTTAGTTACGTAAAATGTAGTTTTGCCAATTTCGATTTTTTTTCATTATTATACTATTATAAGTAGATATATTCTTAATAGCACTTCAAAATCTTGACAAAAATTATAGTTATTTGTTAATTACTAACTTCAAAACTATAAGTTTTATCATATTTTGTTTTCATTCACTTAAATATATTTTTAAATAAACTTAGTAAATTATACGTTGAAAAAACACTGTATAGCACAAACTGCAATGCATTTGTCTTGAGTAGGTATTGAGTTTTCATCTATTACTGACCTATTGGTTATCAAAATGTATATTAATCATAATTAGGTAAACATGTAGATATATGATGATATGATTTAGTAATATTCGATACCATTTCAATTATTCAACTACAATTTATAAATATTGTTTTTATTTTGTTTTTACGTAGGTAGATATTCAGTTTCTGTCGACTGTGTAGTTATTTTTACCTATCATTTTATAGTAGAAAATGTTTGAGTTTATGATAACTAAAATAAAATAAAGAAGTTGGTAAAGAAAATATAAAAAACGATGTTAATAAGAACCACTTAATTTAATTTTATAATAGGTAACAGTCAATAACTAAGACTATTAACTATTTTTATAGGACTAATACCTTTATGTTGATGTAGTTTAAAACAATTAACAAAATAATGACTATTATACTTTTATGTTTGTTTTGACAATTATCAATTTCATTGTATTCTTTATTATTTATGAAGGAAATAAACTCAGCAGGTACCAAATATTTTAAATTAAATCATTGCCAATTGAATAATTTTATAGAACAAATTCCAACAACCGGAACATTATTAAACATTATTTCTTTTTGTAAATTTAAATTATAATGTGAACTACGATCATAAAACATTTGTAGTAGTTTACTTTTATTATTGATAATTGATAAATGTTCATATAATATTTGATTTTTCATTTTAATAATGTTTATGAATATATAAGTATCTTTATGTACCCTAGAGTTTCTATCAAAAACTTGGACCAATAAAAAAAAATTAAATAAAAATGGTTTTTATAAATAATTATTTAATTTAAATGAACTTTTAGTACCTATTGATTTCATACTTTTTTGTGTGTATGAAACTCAATAAATGTAATTTATACATCGTATTATAATAATTTCTTTAATAGTTAGTGGTGCAAACAAGGAAGAGCTTTGTGGCCAGAAATAAACTAGGAAAATAACAACAGTAAAATTAAACGGAATTATTATATTTTCTTTTTTAAAACTTTTTACTATGAGTATTATTAAATACCTTTAATTATAAATATTTTTTCTATGTGGTTACAACTTGAATGTCCAGGATACTTACTTGTCTTAAAAATCGAATAAATCTTTTTTTTATTGAATACAAATATATTTCACCAGTTTTTAAAAAAATGTCTCAGTGAAAATAACATATCTTTACACTAAATAATGTTATTACTGTACATACTCCTATTTACAGTACCTATAAATAATTTAAATAGTTAATAATATAAAATTTTAAAGTTGATATTTTCACCTATGAGTTAAGACAACAAATAATAAGGGAACAAACAATTGAAATGTTGAATTTAATAATTAATGAAACAATCAAATTTTACAAGTTTAAGGTGTTTGTTTTTACATTTAGGACGAGTGACATATTTAATGTGGTTAGTTTTTAATATTAGAGACTAGCGGTAGGTATACTATTTATATAACATTTCTAGGTAGATAACGCGTGCCATGTTTAAATAGGCAAACATTTTACGTCTCAAGAACGAGTATTTTTTTTAAAATACCTTTATCGATTAAACATATTGATATTTTATTATATACAACTATAATATAAACTATACAACAAATATCGTATTAACAATAATGGTTTCGACAATTTTTTGATTTATTAAGTTGAAGTTATTAAGCCTAATGAAAATAATTTTTTATTATTATTTATTATTGCGTTTGTAATTTACATTTTATTAAAATATTTTTTTTATTAATTATTAGTTTTAACAAAAATATATTCTATTATCTTCAGTCTTGAGTTTAATTTTTATTTTATCTATTGACATTTTTATATTAATCCATATAAAGTTGATGTTTATTTTTAAATGAAAACCCATATATAATTCAAATAAAAAATAAATAAATCCCGCAATTATTACAAAATATTTTCAATGTATAGAAATCATATAAAAAACACCCACCCAGATAACAAATGGTTATTAGATCTGAAAACACATATAAGCATAACTACATAAGTATCGTATTAAAGTGGCGGTTATCATCAACAAATATTTTATGTTATAAAAATGTTGCTGTCTTCTATCAGAGACTGCATTAAACATGGATTTTGTATTCTATTTATGAATAATAATTTATGTCATATTTTATAATATTACTTAAAGTTGTATAATTGATATAAATTAATATTAAATATTTCAATTTTCATTTTTAGTTGAAGAGTGGACTATTATTTTAAAAACATTAATATACTTTCATCGATATAGACAATGTAATCAATGTAATAATTTATAAAAATTATAGAATTTTTATAATTTGAATAACCTTTATTGTGAATGAGTATAAGTATATTAAAATAACTATTAAAAAAAACTAATAAATAGGTAAATAACTAGTTAAAATAAAGTTGGTTAATGATTGGTATTTATTGGTTTATTAATTATTTCTATTATATTAGTATATTATAAACTTAGAAAAGTTGGTAAATTAATGATACTTAATAAAATCATTTAAAGTAAATATATTGTACAGAATTAATCTATAGTGTATTTTTATGAATTTTATTAGTATTCATAAAATCAACTAATTCGAATTCGATACAACTGCATAGTCATAGACATAGGGTGGTCAAATTTTTTTAGGGGTCTGTAGTCTTCCTAGGGGTAGACATACTCGTATACTGACTCGTGGAAGGTTTCGTCGGAATTTTGGGGGGCTTATTTTTTTAACTGGGGGCTAAGCCACTCCAAACCCCCCTAACTACGCCTATGTGCATAGTAATATATATTGTTACTAGTTATTGTTATTATTATTTGTGTGTTAGATTTAAAGTTGTTACTAACCTTCATAATAAACACGATTATTCTCTTTAATAAAAAGTATTATTATTTACTAATGTATTAATATTAAGCCGTGTATAATTTAATAAACATGTGTGTCAACTAGTCAACTTACCATTTTGTAAATTACTTCTTGGATCTAACAAATAATAACATCCATTTCACATTTAAAAATGTTGTCCAATGTATAAAATGCTCAGAT